AGGTTAGCTTTCAGGTGGAACAGTCTCATCAATTATTTTAAATTTTAAAAATATCAGTCTTTATTTTTTATTTTTATTTTTTTAAAAGATTTTTATTTCTTTATTTATTTTTAAAGAGAGAAGGGAGGGAGAAAGAGAGAGAGAGAGAAACATCAATGTGTGGTTGCTGGGGGCCATGGCCTGCAACCCAGGCATGTGCCCTGACTGGGAATCGAACCTGTGACACTTTGGTTTGCAGCCCGCACTCAATCCACTGAGCTACACCAGCCAGGCTCAGTCTTTATTTTGAAATGTAAGTCTTGCATTTAGTGTTAGGTTCCATGGTGCATCAGTACACACGATTCCCTCTTACAAGTTTTATAATGAGGCTTTGAGCTGATTCACGCTTAGTAGGTCAATTTGTAAATTAACTCTTCTTGGAATTTACTTACCTTTGGAATCAGTAAAGATTACACCATGGCTATAGATCTTTGATGATATGAAGTGAGGAAAATTCCAAATTTTATAGGGGAAAAGAGGAAGGGAGAAGGTAGAAAGGAAGAGAGAAAGACAGGGAGGGAGGGATGTGGGTAGAGGGGGAAGGAGAGGGAGGAAGAAAGAGAATATAGTTGGAAAACAAAATGAAGCTATCAAGGCTAGAATGTAGCCTTTGTTAGGGTAGTTTGCTACACCACTGAGATAATGAGGGCTGAAATAGTTCAAATCTCTACCCTGCCTGCCCTTGGGGTTAAGCTGACTTTCAGAGCTGGAAAGAGGACCCAAGAGGAAAGTCAGAAATGTTTATTTTAGCTGCAGTGTTAAGCTTCTTTTGAGAAGGCAAAGCCCCTGAGTGGAGAGATTACCACCAAAGTGATCTCGACAAGGAATGGCAAGGCCAATGGCTCCTCCAAGGTTAATACTCTAAACGCACAATTCCTGAGCACACTGTTTATAAGTGTTGGAGACATTTTTATCAGTGCACAGTTGATCAGTCTTCCCAGAAATCACTTTGACTCAGCTAAATGGACTGTGGGCAATATTTTTAAAATTGTGGATGTTTCTCTTGGTTTCATTTATTTGTACTATTTTTTCTTTTTAATAAAACATTTGCTTTATGTTTTTCCAATGAATTTCAAATCATTTGTAATATGGTATCACTTACATTAAATGATCATTGTGTGATCAGGCACGTGGAATTATGTCCTGCTGAAAGTAGAGGCCATGTCATCTTCTCCATCAGGGAAAATGTAGATGAAAAACTTATGTGGTTCTGTGTGCTCAGCTCCTCATTGTTCAATCGTGACCCACCATTCACATAAGACATATAGTTTATTGGCTGAGATAAGAACACCTGCATGCTGTACCTGCTTTCGGTACAGGTATTGAGAGAAATCGCATAGTTCAATTTGACCCCAGGGGGAGGGGAGAGCCACCTGAACAAAGACTGTGAATGATGTCATTGTGTGAATGATAGCTTTGCTGTCTCTTTCCTTCGAAAGCTAATGCCTCCCTCCTCCCAAAGCCCTCTCCTCTAGATACTATCAGAGTAATCCCACGTCTATTCATGGGTCTAGGGCTGGGTAACTAAAGCAATATTTTCACAAAAGAATGAAGGTTTCTCAACATTTGGTCTCAGTCTCAGGCATGTAGCAGGAAACATTCACAACATTTGCTATCATAAGGAGTGTAAATAAATGACTGTTTGAAGATTCAATATTTAAGAATTTTGTTTTTCACAGTGGCTCCCAAAATAGGGGCAGGGAAAGTTTGGAAACAAATTCAATGTTCATTAAAATTACAGACAATAATTTGGACAGATAATAAATTTCAAGATTCAAAAGGAGGCAGATAGGTGCAAATATGAACCAACTTTTAAAAGATGAAATTTGCCCTGGGTGATGTGTCTCAGTGGTTGGAGTGCCAGCCTGTGAACCACAGGGTTACTGGTTTGATTCCCAGCCAGGGCACATGCCTGGGTTGCAGGCCAGGTCCCCAGTAGGGGGCACGCGAGAGGCAACAACACATTGATGTTTCTCTCCTTCTTTTTCTCCCTCCCTTCCCTTTTCTCTAAAACTAACTAAATAAAATCTTTTTAGAAAGATAATTTAATATTCAAATAAGCACCTTCGAGATGGGAGAGAAATGGTTCAACAGATGCATGTGTAAATGTAGCTAAATTTTCTCTCAGCACTGTGTCGTATGAGTGACAGAAAGACTAATGCAATTCTAGGTGCATTTTCATTGCCACAACAGAAGCATACAAAAAGGAAAGAAAGGAAGCAATAATTTTCCTTTGTTTTGAGATGATACCCTGTGGGCAACGAGTTGATGAAGAGATGCAGGAGGGTGCTGGAGTGAGGAATTTTAGAAACCTTGGCACAAGAGGACTCTGGTTAGCCTTGGTGAAGGTGATGAGAGGGCTGGAGGACACTGAATACTTAGTCTGTTATATGGGCCTAATGGCTCCAGCAGACGGAACCACAAACAGTCTATAGAAGTTGCAAAAGGTTTTAGTTCAACGTAAGGAAGAACTTTTAGCAGAGTTGCCCCTCTAGGAGCTGGGGGAGTGTGGTTCTCAAGTTGGATATATTCAAGAAGCTGCATGGCCCCTTACTGAATAGCTCCTATTGGGTTACTCTACATAAAAGCCCCTTTTAACTCTATGGCTATGATTCATTTGCCATGTTGTAAAATAAAGCCGCCTAGCATGAAAGAAGAGAAAAGCCATGTAAGATCTCTAGAATGGAATGACCGTCAATATCGCTTATTTTCACCAGAGCCTGTGGGGCAAAGTACTTAGGCAGCTGTCCGAGGTGCTGGAGGGGGTGCACTGGGTGTGCAGTTGTGCTGCTCTGGTTTTCTTCATGCCTGTTTGGGTGTGTTCTCATGTCTTCTGGATTTTTGGCTTTTCTGCTTCAGATATAATCTATTGACATCCGCCCCACCCCTGTGCACATCAGGGCTTTAACTAACGCAAAGAGAGAGACAGAAAATGTGTAAAAGAGCTGGACTACCTGGGGCTTCCTCGTCTTGTCCCAGGGAAACATGAATCCATTTCATTTTCAACGGTTAGGCTTCCTATTTAGAGTTGAACTGTTTGATTGGGTTGATATTTAGAGTAGAGACCCATTGTTTTGAGACAACTGCATGAATTTGCTTCCTGGGTTCTTGATTTTATGCATTCTACAGCACATACATATCCTGGGTGGAGATAAGAATCCTAGGCAGAGAATTATTTGTACAGGGGAAGAATTATTTGAGGGGGAAGAAACACTAACTACTTTAGATAAACAGCTCTGCAGCCTTAGGGGTACCCAGGACCAGCGTGATGGTGACAAACCTGTCCTGTTCTCCACTCTGTATTTTTTTTTTTTTTTGCTTTTCCTATGCTACTTGATTTTTTTGTTGTTGTTCTTTGGTATTTCCCCCCATCTATAAAATGGAGACAATAGTACCATTCTTTAGGATTATAAAAACAAGTTAATACATGTAAAGAACTTACAACAATGCCAGGTGCATATACTAGTGTAATTACAGCTTGTTTTGGGGGGTTTTTAAGACCACCCTCAAGTTTGATAATTTTTCAGGACTCACAGAACCCAGAAAAGCTGTTATACTCACAGTTATAGTTTGTTACAGCAAAAAAGAAAATACTGATTAGAATCAGCAGGAAAAAAAGGTGCAAAGGGTGGAGTCAAGGCTCACTGGACCAGTTCCAAGCTTCCAGTTGTCCTTCCAGTGGTGTCACGTGAACAGAGGTTAATTCTCTTGGCAATGATGTATGACATGTGCAAAGTGTCACCAACCAGGGAACCTCACCCATGCCTTGGTGCCCTGGGCTTTTATTGGGGTAGAGGAGGTCAGTCACATAGGCATACAGTGTGTGTGTGATTGACCTTAGCTGCTCAATCTTCAGCTCTTCCTCCTGCTCCTCCCCATCATAAGAGGTCAAACTGATGCAGTGTGATTCAAAGCCCAGGCATACAAAAATGGGCATTCAGTGTCAATCGTATTGTGGGCAAACTACATGGCATGGCCCAAAGTCTCAGGTATACAAGGACACTCTTATCAGGCAGGATACCCCAAGGGTTTAGAGGGGGAAGGCAGAGTCTATTCTAAGACCCTTGGAATGTGGAGGGCTTGGGCAACTCAGACCTATGGAGTTAACCATTTACTGCACATATTTGTAAATTTTGCTTGCTTGTTTGAACAATATAATTCAACCATTCTTTTAATGTTTTGACTGATTTTCTTTTTAGTATATGAACATTTACTGAATGTTTACTATGTGGATAGCTCTTATAACTTTCTTTTTATAAGCTGGAAAATAATTTTAAGTTTCAATCCATGTTATAAATTCAGGAAAGAAATGGCTAATGCTCCAATATGAAAGGACTTATCAGAAACTAAAGATCACTACTATAATTGCTATAATGGCGATAATAGTGTCCTCCATAAATCTTAACTACAATTACATGCCAAATGCATTATGTATATTAGTGGAGTCTTTATCAACAGTGGGAGGTAGGTGATAATTCTATTTTACAGGTAAGAGAATAAAGGTCCAGAGTTTAAAAACTCAGCCAGTAAGTAGAGTCTGTATTTACTGTCTGATTCCAAAGCATGACAATTTCATCATGCGTGACAGTTTCCTATGACTTTGAGAAACAAAAGCTCTAAGAAGTATCTAAAAACATTAAAAATCAAACAATTAATTTCACTGTATACACTTTAAGATCCATAGAATGTATAGATGTTGGGGCAGAGTTGTGGCTAGAATACACGTTCCTTTTACCAATAGATGAGTTTTCTGCAAAGAAGAATTCCAAGATGCTCCTCTCCATAAAAATGTGGTATAGAAGACACAGAAGCAAGGAAAACAGAGCTACAAAAGGGGGGAATTAAATAGTTATTTTGAATGTCTTGATTAATAAGGGAAATATAAAATCTGAATGCCAAAATTGTTGCCATCATGAGTTTTTTTGTAATTATATCTTTTCCCTTTCTTCTCATATTATTAGATCTCAGTCCGTGGTAGAAGCTGGGACCCTGAAGCATGAGGAGAAGGGAGAGAATGAGAACACTCAGCCACTTCTGGCTCTGGACTGATCCCTGAGTCACTCCATGGTTCCGCATAACGCCAACCATCAGTGGCATCAGCCACCCAGGAGGCACATGCGCAACTGACCCCCACAGACATGTGCATTTGGCTTGATATAAGGCTCTCCACTCCTGCCACGCAGTAATGACTGTCACCAGCCCTTGGCTGGAGCAGCCAAAGTTGAACAAAGACATGAGAGATGTTTGTTTCTTTTTTTCAGTAAGGGTATTGAATGGAGGATGAAGCAAGGCAGTTATGTAAACAAGATCCCTCTCCCCCACATTTATGGTATTACATGAATTGAAAAAAGAAAAACTAAATTTGATGCACACTGCATTAGAACAAAGAATTTTTTGAGGCATTGCCCAGAGACCTTCAGTTTCTGCAATTTAAGATTAAGTGCATTTCCAAGTAGATACATCAGAATAAAACTGGGCAGACACAGTTGTCAAGTTTAATGTAGTGCAAAAGCCCTGAGACAATAGTATTTCCAGTAATTTCCATTCTTATTGAATTATTTTCTTTGACCTCATCACCAGCATCAACTTGTTCAGCCTAAGAGCATGTTTTCCGAGGTCTAGCTATTTTCAGAGTTTGCTTATTTTGATATCCTGCAAAAGTGACTTTGACATCACATCTTTTGTCAGGCTACCAGCTGATTATCATGAGCAGACTTTTAAAAAAGGCACAAAATGTGAAATATGATTATTTCATCTTAGCAATGTGACTTCCACAGGCAACGTGTGCCTGCAGATATGGGGGTGGGGGCGGGGTCCCATTGGAAACATGTTAGTGGTTGGTAAATCCATTCAGGTTGCCTCACTTGGGTCACTACAGCTAAGAAAAGAGCTACTAAAGCATTTAACTCCCCTCCCCCCACCACAACCAGTGAAATGCGTAGAGAAAGGGCCTGGCTGTTGCTGAGTGGGTAGGTATTCAATCTTGGAAGAAGACCCTGAAGGATGGCTAAATATGCAAGTGCTGAAAATAAGAGAAGACTAGGAATGCAGGATGAAATGCCAAAGATTATTGTATTTCTTTGTTTATTCTCCTTAGAAATGAACCCCCAACTATCCAATCAAAGGAAATTAGATACAATTAAAGATATCACAGGACATGATATCCTCACTCGTGCCGTGTTGCCCCAAACCAGCTGTGTGTTTTCAGGTATCTCCTCCTCTCCCAGCCACCTGCATGGCACGGCCACTCATTAGTGTGACCAGTTGGTGCTCAATACCAAATAAAAATATTTTAGTTGATAATGGGCAGTAAAATATGATGTTACATTTTAAGGATTTGGGAGGGTTAATTTATTATAGCTAAAAAATTCAAAATTCAAAAGACAGAGGTGATTCCACTGGCCATAAATCACCCTCAATGGACATTATATACTGTTCTTAACCATTTATGGATCTCTTTCTCAATGGGTCTAGTGTTTTAATTTTTTTCTACTGGTTGATGACAATTAACAGAAGTAATTTTTATATTTCTCCCTTGAAATAAAATTGCAATAGAATTAAAAATATTTCTGAGCCAGTTGCATCACAGTATTAATAAAGCTAACTCATTTTGTGTAGACATTTCAAATTAATGTTGAAATAATTCTACCAAATGCAGTGACTGAAACACTTTTCTTATATACCGTGACACAGGGATGAAAGATGAAGAATTAAAGTGAATTAGAAAATCCATTTTATTACTTGGTTTATAAGGTAGTTGTGGAATCCAAAAACCTAAAATGCAATTATTGCCAACCCTTTGCAACAGAAATGACAATCCTGGCTTTTCAATTGGCAATATTTAGGATCCTGTAGTGACCTGATTTTAAATACCATATTATAATTACTAAGTGAAGAGCTAGTTTTTACTCTATTCCATGATTTCATTACATGACTGTAAGATGATGGTTCAACATTGACAACTTATTCTTTGAATTTCTTTGTGTATGCAATATACATACAACCAAACTGTGTCAGTGACATGAATGTTACCACACGAGCACTGATTGTATTGTCCTTTGTCAGCCATTTCCTCTGTTCAATAAATACTGAAGGACAAAAATACCTTTTTATTTTTCAGGAGTATGCCTTTTCTTCTGGACTTTGGTAATTAATTTTGCTATTTTCCTCACATACTTCTTCATCTATTCGAGTGAGTTTTTGAACATTGGCAAAACAGAAGGGAACACAAAAAATAGTTTGCGAACTTCTAGAAGCAAATGGGCTTTAAGGACAAGCAAAAAAAAAGTCCATTTGAATTTTCAAGGACTGTTTTTTAAATGAGATAAGAAAGCATCCTTCTTCCTCATTGGATGGAAATTGCAAGTGTTTCTTTTTTTAACCTATAAATGATACTTGGTAACTTATGTATCATTTTTCCAGCATTTTTGTTCATATTGGCTTAAGTTCAGTGCACTGATATTATTACATTCTTATAGCTAACATTCCTAGTTAGCTTTAATTTTAAAAACAAAATTTAATGCATTAATACTCTACCAAATGAATGACTTGGTCATCTTTGGAATGAGTAGGAAAGACCATTTTTCAACAGCTACTTGGATGCTGTGGGTAATAGTAAAGCTAAGTTATGGATAATAATTGCTATTTCAAAGTGATGTTTAAATGGCAGAAGTTTTTCAAGCAGAAGAGCCAGAAGACTCCTAAGCTCTTTCAGAGAGGAGAGCAATCTTGACACCCTACACTCAGGACAAAGATCCTGGCATTCTGTCTTCCACTCTGTCTTCTTCATATTTTTGCAAACTTGTGGTGGGAATCCATCATGGACTCTGTCACTCATATAGACCTGCAACGGGCAAAGACACTTCTGTTCCAGTCACGTCTCCTGGACAGCAACTGGGCCTGCAGCCAGAGCCCTGGCAGCTACCTCTCCACCTGATTCTGAGAGAAAATTTTTTACTTGGAAAAACTTTCCCTTTTTTTTGTTCAGCCCTAATACTTGGCATTAAAAACATTTACATGTGGCATTTTTTTAACTCAGTATAAAGCGATCCCATGTCACCTTTCACTGTAAAAACTTCCTCTTAGCAAGAAATGCCACTTTGACAGTGTCTACACCTTTCTCACAGGGAGGAGAGAAATGCAGACACTGGCTCTCAATGAAGATAAAGCAAATCGATTCAGTAGGTGGGAAGCTGTACAGTTCATAGACATTGGCATAATTACAGGTTTTTCCTTTGTATTAGGAAAATAAAGCTGCTTATTTCATGAGTGTCTTTGTCTAAAAATAATTAAAAAAGGGAAGTCTGAGCTTACCAGGAAAGTTACCACTAAACAGCTACAAGTAAAGCATTTTACACAGCTTGTCATTAAAATCAACAAAAAAGTAGTGGTATGTGATGACAAAAAAATCACTTAGCTACCCTAGAAAAATATAAATGCATAGAAAAATTACAAGCTAAAGCAATCCATTCACAGTTTCTAAATGTATTCTCACTGTACACTGATATAGCCCATTCTAAATGGAAAAAAAAATCTTTGGCTGGCAAGGTAGAAGCTATCATGTATTTACCTGAAATACAGGCACCAGAATGGTGCTCTCAGGGGATGAAATACATCAGGGCATTTCTTATGTAAATTGCAGCAAGGCAAATATTCCCTTTAGTGTCTTCTAACCCTAGGAGGAGGCTGTAAATCAAGGGCATGAAGGGCACTGCTGAGTGAACTTCTATCCCCACACCCAAGGAGACAGAGCCAGACAGGCAGCCTCTCTCCAGTGTGTCCCAAGCCCGCACAACATGCTAAATTGCAGGAAGGGTGCGTCTCTGCTGGGGTGTCAGCTCTGGGTGCCACACATCCACGATGAATATCAGCCGGAAAGACGTGGCATCCTGCCACACCTCGTGCTCGAAGGAGTCATCAAAGATGAGCACCTTGCCTTCTTCCCACGTCCTGGAAAAGAAGAACATGGATGCTTGTGATTCCGATGCTTGAGGGTCGATTCATGTCTATGTGCAGGAAGGCCCTGTCATGATAATCTCCACAATATGACCAGCTAACTGAACTGCCAAGGCAGGATTTATTATTTTTTGGTGATTAAGAAGGAATTTCAGGAATCTTACCATGAACACCAAATTTCTTCTCTCAGCACTGAAGGTGTACAAAGAGTAGGAGACTGGTGATAAGAACACACTTATTCTTGTTATAAACCTAGGCAAGGCTCGTTTAGTTGGGCAAACATTCAAACATATACCCCGTTGATCCATGCTCAGCCAGCTCCCTGGTCAATGACACCATGGAATCCTCCCTGGTGGTTTAGAGACGAGTTCAGACCTACACACAGTGACTGGATGTCCAGCTTTTCTGTGTCCCATAGGAGACCTGGCAGGGTGTCTGTGTGTCTCCAAATAATTCTCCTTTCAAGTCATCCCACTTGTTAAAGTTCCACTTTATTAAAAAGTTCCATTTGATGGAAAGTCCATGGAGTATTTTCTATCAGAACATCCCTTTCGGGCCAAGAGTACTGCTTCCTAAAATATCTATACAGGGGCCAACATCTAAATATACTGTAGTCTGAACAAAGCAGTGCAGAGAAGGATATGCAGGGAGCAATCACACAATGCCTTTCGAATCCAATGAAAGTGTATTAACCATGCAATGGTCTCTTCTTTTTCAAAAAGGTATCAATTGCCAATATATTACATGCTAAGTTATATTTTTAAAGTAAAATATTTCTACTAGAAAATTTTCTTTAGGTATTAAAATTCCACTCAAGAAGTTAAAATTTGCCCTGGCTGGCGTAGCTCAGTGGATGGAGCGCGGGCTGGGAACCAAAGTGTCCCAGGTTCGATTCCCAGCCACGGTATATTCCTGGGTTGCAGGCCATAACCCCCAGCAACCACACATTGATGTTTCTCTCTCTCTCTCTCTCTCTCTCTCTCTCTCCCTTCTCTCCCTAAAAAAATAAAAAAAAAGTTAAAATTTTATATTCTGGATTAGCAAATAATTAAAATTATAGAAGGGAAAATGCTAGTGCTTGATTACAAGTTATTGCATTCTCATAAGGAATTTTTCATTCTTCTAAAATGATTTGTGTCTTTTCATGTTCATTACTAGGTGATTAATCAACATTAAATTAAGTAATATTACATACTGCAGGGTATCTCATCCTTGGCACTATTGACATCTGTGGCCAGGTAGTTCTTTGTTCTGGGGGCCGTCCTATGCTCCATGAGCATGTCTGGTCCCCAACCACTAGACGCTAATAGTACTCCCTCACCAACTGTGACAATCAGAATGTCTCAGTCATTGTCAAATGTCCTAGGGGAGCAGGGTGGCATGGGGGTGGTGGGAGGCAAGTTCACCCCAGACATATTAAATAAAGAATCTGACAACAATGTTTCCAAATTTAAACTAATAAAGTAGCAAACACTCACAAGTTAAAAGTTCCTTGAAGTTGGGAGCCAAATCTCTACTCCTGCCACCCCGCCCCCACCTCCAACACACACACACCCCTTGCCTAATGTCTTGCATTCAATAAACAGGTGTTGCTCAGCTATTTGACATAATTCCTCTGAAGGTTCAAAGAATCCTATTGGAGTTCCATCTAACTATAATGAAAGACAGAAATACAGAGATGGGCAAAAGTAGGTTTACAGTTGTTCATATGGAGAATAATACAGTAACTAATAAGTAAAGAATAAGCCTTGTTTCACATTATTCACAAATGTAAGCTGAATTTTGTCCATCCCTATATATAGACTCAGCAGAAATAGAGACACTCAAATAAATGACAGACTATCTGTTCATTACCATGCAAAATCAAACTTGAAAGGCAAAGCTAAAAAAAAGAAGAAAATGGCAAGAAAAAGAGAAGTGAAATGATCCATAGCTTATACAGTTTGATGGTCATTTCCTAGGTTTAA